AATTGGCAGTTGAGCCTGCCATCTGAGCAGCCTGACATCAGTCTAACTGCTCTAAGGAAAACCAAAAGAAACCCTCTGTTTTGTAGCCTTCATATTATCTTCTGAGAGAAAAAAAAAAAAAAAGGAAATTTCTGGGAACAATTCAATTTCTGGTACTCTGAGTATATGATCTATTTCAGCTCTTTGTCATACTGAAGGCCAATTTTTCAAATCTTTCTCATTGTACTCAGGAAAAAGCTCATCTCTCGCTAATTAAATCATCATTTTACAGAAAAATCTGCTATGCTTTTTTGTCCATAGCTTTGAAAGCTACCTATAACTTTGATTCTAGCATAATCTTGGTGTATTTGTGCTCTATTCAGTTATGTGAGTATTAGTTCTTATTGATTCTTGAGTAAGAAACCGCTTTCTTCAGTTTTGCACTATTTGAAGACAACCCTTAATTCCTTTATATAGAAGAATTCCAGCTGATACAAGAAAACAGCAGAACAAAAATCAGCCTCTTTGAACTGGGGCAACCCAGGAACAAGGCAAGAGAAGAAAGGAAGGGCTGCTTGAGCAGGTATAACTCTGAAACTGCCCTACTTAGTTGTTCTTTTGACATAGCTGTGTTTTAGACTGAAGAGACTGCTGCTCTCTTTAAACATAAGCACTATTTCTGCCATGTTTTTGGTGAGGTATAAATTTAAAAATCCTATCCTGTGTGTGTGAATAAACGTTTCTCTGTGCAGAACAGTGTTCTGCATTATGATAACCTTTGCTGGACACCTGAGGCCAGTTTTTGGGTATTGTTTCTACTCCTTGTAGAAATGTGATCCTTTTTTAAATTCCTGCCTAGAGAGGCACTCAAATGTGCATGTGTCTGGTAGTGTTGGTTGGTTTTGTGTGTCCCTTCCCTGCTGTCATCCCTCACCTAAAATTTACATTGCTTAACTGGGTAACTGAGACCTCACCTGGAGTATTGTGTGCAGTTCTGGTGTCCTCAACATAAAAAGGACATGGAACTGTTGGAACAAGTCCAGAGAAGGTCCACGAGGATGATCAGGGGACTGGAGCACCTCCTGAATGAAGACAGGCTGAGAAAGTTGGGGCTGTTCAGCCTGGAGAAGAGACGGCTGCGTGGAGACTTCATAGCAGCCTTCCAGTATCTTAAAGGCGCCTATAGGGATGCTGGGGAGGGACTCTTCATTAGGGCCTGTAGTGATAGGACAAGGGGTAATGGGTTAAAACTTAAACAGGGGAAGTTTAGATTGGATATAAGGAAGAAGTTCTTTCCTGTGAGGGTGGTGAGGCACTGGAATGGGTTGCCCAGGGAGGTTGTGAATGCTCCATCCCTGGTGGTGTTCAAGGCCAGGTTGGAGAGAACCCTGGGTGGCATGGTTTAGTGTGAGGTGTCCCTGCCCATGGCAGGGGGGTTGGAACTAGATGATCTTAATGTCCTTTCCAACCCTAACTATTCTATGATTCTGTGATTCTAAGTAGTTTGAAAAGTAATTTTAAAATTAGTGGATTGAGCTTAAAAAGTGCTTAGCTACAACTGAAGACTCTGAAAAGTGAGTGCTCAGCCCTCATTTGCAGTAGACTCTTTTAGAGGCATATGTATTCCACTTATGATCATTTTGGCAACACAAGATTCAGCATGCTTCTTGAGCAGCTGGCTAGGACACTGCAGTTCATGTCAGCTTGGCAGTCTACTGGGTAGAATCTAACCACCTCTGTCTTCTCACCCCTGTGATGTGATGGGTCTATGTAGCCAGTCTGATCACATCTTAGCCAGTTCTAAAGAGCTTCTAAACCAAGAATTTTATTCTTTGGCAAATTGCAGGCTATAAAAGAAAACTTTCAAACAATAAGGACAATTTTGAGGTGTTCAGACCAATTCATTGACCCATTAAGTAATTCTTAGCAAGCATAGGCAATGCAAGACTGCCCAAGAATTTTGAACCAAAAAGTAAACTCAGTGTTGGCTAGTGAATCTAGCTACCTGTATTACAATGTTCTGCAACAGCAGAGCAAAAGAAGAAAGTATAAACTAATTGGTCTAATCTAATAAAAAAGATCTGTGCCACTTTGCCTGACAACTGTAGTGGAGGTTATGAAAGTGAGTACTGAAGAATGTTAAAAATCAGTTCAATACTATAAATAAAGAATTTGAAAAACCTGCTAGACCTAATCAGTTTTCCTTATTTGTCACAGCAAAAGTCTGCAAGTTTAACAAATGTGACTTGCTGTTTGTTTTCAATTGCATGCTCAAAATAATTTGTAAATTATTACAGTAACAGGAGTGTGCCAAAATTCTTAGGCATATTGTGCCATACAAGGTCTCCTTGATAAAAATATATAATTTGAAAAGTGTAACTTATGAATATGGAATGAGATGGCACAGGAGCAGCTAAATCACGCTAAAACTCTTGTTCCTTCCCATCTGCATATAGTTGTAGAGGTTATGCTGGAAGCAGAGTCATCAAGTGTCATGTATCTTCTTAAGAGTTGCCATAAGTGATAGAGGGTGAAGTTAGTCATGCTGAATATTTCACAGAGCAACTTGCACTTGTATGAAATACTATAAGGAATACTGGGTCTTCTAACCTTGAATTAGGGTCACTAAAAAACCTGGCACCTTAACTGCTGAAAAGCAGACAACTTGTTAGTGGCAATTAGTTGGTATTGAAGTGTTCAGACAGTTAAACTATAGCTTCCTAGCAGATACAGCAGTGTGCATGTGAGCATTTCTTCTTTCCCAGTTCTCTTTGTTTTGTCCCATTAATAGCAGCACATTTTAATTACAGTAAGCTTTCACAGCCTCCTTCTGTGTGTTCTTACAATTCAGCCAAATGGTGTGGAGTAGTTTGACTTGTGATATTATTCTCTGTTGAGATTTGTAAGAAACAACAGGAGTGAAGTACTGCTGGCAAAAATTCTTCTTCCGCTTTTCAGAGAGAATCCTAAACAACTATTGTTATTTGTCTGCAAGGAATAGTTTGAGATCAAAAGGAATGAAAACCTGAAAAGGCAGCCTTTTATTTTACTGGAGGGGAAAGGGAAACTTACCCAAAGAACCCACTCTAATTTTTTTTTTCTTTTTCTTCCTCTTTTTCCTGTGTTTTAGTATCAAAATGCTCTATGCTGTATTTTTTTTTTTTTTAGGGCTCTGTAAATGGTTTTGGATAGCTTCTGCTGACTTAGGTCTGGAAATTTTAACCTTTCATTAATTTTAACTGCTGAGTAAAGCAAATGGAACGCAAGAGGTTTTATTCACAAGGTTTGGCTAGAGCACTGTGCTATGTCAAATGTGAAGTCTATTTGAGCTCGATTCAATTGCCTAGTGCTGTCCTAACAGACCACAGTGGGTTAATCTCCCAAAAAGCCTTTTCCATACATACAAGACTAAACAAGAAGCAGACTTTAAAGGCTTTAAGTATGGCTCTAGTTAACTATAAACAGCTGCTGCAAGATAACAGCTTTCCACTGGAAAAGTGAGCCCCTTTCCCCCTTTTACAATGAAACCATTCTGAAAGGGGTATTTGGAAGGAGTCAGTGCTCTGTCTGGCAATAATCAGAATTAAGTGCTGGGGGTTGGGAGTGAGTTGTTGGATCTTTCCTTTCAAACTGACATTTATATAGCAATTCTATTTCCGCTACTGAAAGCCAAAACATACAAATCCGTCTTATCCAGACTATTAAGAAATAGGGAGCAAGTGATTATTTTTTCCCCCTTCTGTTCTCTTTTCTTTCTTGTTTCTGGTCTGCATCAACATTTATCTTGAATAATGGGGAAGACTGATATTAGCAAACCTCCGTCTATCTTTTAGAGTCTAGTAACATGACGTTTGACTTAAATCCAAACAATACCTGGTGTAAGAATACATCTTTAGGAATTCTTCTTGCTTGTTAAAGCCATACCATGAATCGTTAGAATTTTTCTTCTTTTACTGTTCTCAGTGCATTGAAATGTTGGCAGAAGTGTCTTCCAAAAGACAATTGGTCCTGTTCTAAATCAAAAGCAAGAAGGCCATAAAAATAAAAGATCTAATTTGAACACTTCTTGACAGTTAGTGATTTTTTAAATAGTTTGTTTTTAATTGCTTTCAAAAGTGAAGGGGAAGGAGAAATCTTTTGTAAGTCTTGCTTCCAGAGGAAAAAAACCCCGAACAACAAATGTGGGAAATCAGGTGGTTAATATTAGGAGTTACAATGTGACTCATACAGTGCATAATTTCTGCAATAGTACAAGCAGCAACAATGGAGACAAAGAAACAGATGTGCAAACTTCCTACTAGTTAAATTCCAGCTATTTAATTAACAGCAGGACTTGTCCTTTGTTTTGTATTTCTTAGCTCAAAAACATTGGAGGAGGACATGAAAAGGTACTGTAAGAAAAGTGCTTTTACCATCTGCAATAGGATGGACACTTCAAACTAAAATGCAACCTTTGCAAAGTTGGCCTCAAGGATATAAAGACAGGGGGTAAACCAGCTATAATACAAAACCAGCAGTCTGGTTAGGAACTTTTATACAGCTGAGCCAGACAGAAACCTGCTTGTCTAACTTTATAATCACTTACTTTAAATCCAAAGAACTTTCCAAACTATAGGCAATAAAGAATTATGTTCCTCAGAGCAAAGCTAACTGGTAGGTTATTAATGTAGTCAGAGACTGAGATAATTGTTCTGTGACTCCTTTCATAGTAGGAGAAGTCCCTCTTGTTCTGTGTTGGGAGATGTGAAGGTAATAACTGACCTTTACTAACAGCTGGTGCTAGAGAAGCAAAACTACATTTTGGTCATAAAGCCAAAAACTCTGTAGCTGGGGTAAAAAGTCAAACTCTCACTACATACTGCCTTATTCTGTGGTGTTGCACAGAAATGTGGCAGTCAGATGGATTTCCAGACCTGCCATCTAACCTACAGACCAGATAAATCATCAGCAACAGAACGTGATGCTGCTGATGAAGTAGTGCTTTTTTTTTTTTATTATTATTTTTATGCATTTCAGGTTATCCTGGACTCTGGCATTTCCCTTTCAAGATTCAGGTGCAGAAGGATGTTGAGTAAAATGAAGAGCTCTACCTCTTTCTTACTTTCTTGTCAATCTGGGAGCCTGCACGCACAGCATTCATTCCTGTGCCTGTGTTTCCTGCTGCACATGCCTCAGTGAAGGCTGGAGAGCACAGGTAGTCAAGACTTGCCAAACCAGGTTTGTCATTCAGCCTACAGATGGGTTGCCATGTGAAATCACTGTAGAGTCTTACCTTGCATAAGAATTTTGAAAACTCACAAAGTTAAAGCTGGCATTGTAGAACTGAGAGCCTGGTAGGGTGACTGACCAAGTATGTGTCTCTTCACCCCATTAGAAAATTTGTTGGTAAAATTTAAAAACCTGCTGAAAATTTGTTCTTGCATCATTGTTTGCCAGTGTCATTCTGCATTGCAATTTCCATACTGAAATTATAAATCAACTATTTTTAAGCAGAAGAGTAGAAATTATCAGGTAATATCTGAATGGAGATTATTAATAATTTGAACCTTGCATTAATTCATAAGCAGGGTACATTAACAAAGTAATAGTTAAGGGAAACACTAATACTTAAAGTATATTAGTATTAGCCATCCATTTTTTGTGCAAATTTTACCACAGTTCTGGGGAATTATTACCAGGTTAAAGGAAACTGTGCACAATATCTGCTGAAACCTGCAGTTATTTCTGTTATATTATATAATGCAAATCTGCCAGTAGGCTGCACCCCTGCTTGTATTGATTTAAATTGTATGGTTCTGCTCTTAGGAGCCTAGCCAGTCCCAGAGGCTGAGCTGATGCACTCAAGCTCACAAAAGAGCTTTTGAAAAACAGCCCTGATTTACACTATGGTGCTAAAAGTGTGAACAACTTTCTTACTGATTTAAAACATGTCCCAGCTCACTGTTAGTAATCTGTATCGCAGTTCTGTGACCATTAATCATTTAATCATCACAAAACAAAGAGCCTCTTTTGTGGAGAACTGCTTCACACATGCATATGCTATATCACTCATTTTTACAGCCAAGGGACTGCATATTGTTCCCTCTCGCTAAGAACTAAACAAGTCATCCACATCCTTTGAAGCATGTACGTTTTAAGCTAATTTGCTGAGGAAACAAAAATGGATTGTAGTGATATGCTCAAATAGAGATTTATGAAGTTACACAAATTTACACAAGCAGAACATTTGGTCTTGCTGATTTGGGCATTTTTCCAAGCATATATGCATAGTAAACAGCCTGTTGCATAATTTTTAAATGCATAGTATAGCATCAAATGGGACAATTGCTACAGTAACACTTGTCAAACAGTATACTTTTAATTTAATCATGATTATAGCCCTTGCGGCATTTCAAATTTCTGCAGATCCTGAATCTCACAGTAGAGCTCATTTATAGTTTTTCTCTGCAATAGCTCAAGGGCATTTTTGCTACATTATTTCTCAAATAGTGTCACCTGACAGACTTGCACAGATTTTCTTTGGCCTTGTCATAAATGGTTTCATCTTTAATGAAGAAGTTGTATGTTAATGTATTTATAAAATACAGTTCAAGATTTTCTAGTCTAGACTGTGCCTATTAGATGCGTACAGGTTGTAAAGAGTTCTGCTTGGTCATTATGAGTCAATGAATTTATCTATATATCGACACGCAAAGGAAAAAAAGACAACACAAAGTTAAGAGACTGGAGAACAAAAGTTGAGGAAGCTTTCCCTGCCGCACTCAAAGTCTGTATCAGAGCTGTGTAGTGTAGCTTTTTGATGGTTCATTCAGTCCTGTGTTATTTACAGCAAGTAACAGTCTTTGTGTCACACTAAGAACAATCCTGTAGCCTAAAAATAAAATTGCTGATAGAAATATTACTAGAATGAATTGATATTTTGTGTCTTTTTAGTAACTGTTCATTTACCTAAATAATTAATACATTTCATATTTTGTATTCTCATCTTCAAAAGCGTAATATTTTTCTATCAACTTCTTTTAACACAGTGCCCTTTTTTAGATTACCATTCTTTCTTCTGCCATTGCTTAAGCAATGGCACATACTGAGTATTTGACTCCTGTCTTGTTGATGGACATAGGCATAGAGTGCTGCTAAGGAAAAAGACAATATCCTTTTGAAGAGACCTACAGTGATTTTTTCTCTGCTGGGATGTGTGTGACCTTTCTAGTGCTTCTCAGGGTTCCTATGCACAGAAAATGCCAAAAATGCCTGGACTGCAAAAGATGGATTTTGCCTTTTTCTTACAATTTTTTTGTTGTTGTTGTTGGTTTGGTTTGGGGTTTTTTGTTTTTTTTTTTTTGTTTGTTTGTTTGTTTGGTTTTTTTTGTTTGTTTTGTTTTTTTTTTTTTTTTAGCAAAAATCCCTTTTGTATTTTAATTCTAAGTTCTCTTGGAAACACTATGGAGTTCAGTGTGTCTTATAAACTTTCAAGCACTTTGGAAAAAAGTGGTAGAAATTTGGGAAGTTCAAGTTATGTTCAATTGGTATTATCCTCAGGTAAAGGCTATTAAGAGTTATTTCCCTGTGGAACTTCTGGGTCATATTAATAGACTACAAAGAAACAAAGAATTTTGAGCTCAGCTTCTTAACTCCTGGGAGAATTTCTGGACAAGATTTATTATCTAAATGACAATAAAGATACTGCAAACAAACAAGCCCAAACCTGTAAGAGTTCATTATTCTCATCTTAGAATAACTTCAAGCTTATTTTTGCCACTTCTTAATACTGATCCCTTGCTTGATAATTTGGACAGCCATCTTGCAAAATACAAGTCATGTATTTTGAAATATATGATATGTTCTAAGACACCTCCTACAAAAAAAAGTATGTAACTGCAAGTACTTGGTCATGCAGTGCTCTGGCAGAGATAGTCCACTGCATTAGGAGCAAGAAAATAAAAAGGAATAATATTTTTTGGTAGATAGAGAATAGAAATCCTCTTCAAAGGAAACAATTTTCAAAGCCTACAGTCATAGGATGCCAATCACAGTGTGTCTGGCACCAAAGCTATCTGGAAACCTAAGCATAGTACTCAGATTTAATCACCATATTACTCTACAAGGTTTTGCTTCATGTGTTTGTCATTACTGACTTTATTTAGTCTGAAAGACATTTTCTTGTACTTGGCAATGTTTAGAGGGTACTGCACCATTTGGTTGTATTTTGAGACTTGTCTGCTTTAAACATGGAGAAGATGACAATTTTGGCAGTCAGATTTAAATTTAAGAAGCTGCGGGTTTTTTTTTTTCTTGCGTTGTTCTTTTATTTTCTTTTTTTCAGAGGGGGTTAGGGGTGGTATGGGGTGGGGTGGCTTTGAGGTTTGTTTTTTTTTTTTCCTGTCATGGCTGTAAGAGACAGCTGGTTGAGTCACAGCCCAAATGCAGCTGTTCCAAAGCCTGACTCCAGATCTTGAGGTAGATCTACAGCATCTCTGCTTAGCTTCCTCCCAAAAGGGTTGAATTTGATGGTACTCCCCAACAGCCAATGCAGCTTCCCCTCATAAAAACTATGCTAGATTCTTATTTACTCAGATTTCTTTTGACCATTAACAATTGAGAGACTCTATGATAACATTATTATTATTTATTATTTGGAAGAAGAGACTTTGACAAACACAAAAGATGGTTGATGACTGTGGCATGCTAAAGGAAAGAATAGTTTTTCAAATTTTTCAAAGACTTTACAGCAGCACTGTTAAATTTTTACCAGCTGAAACAACAGAAGTCAGGTTTTTTGTTGTTGTCCTGGATGTAAAGTACAGGAAATGGAGGAGACATAAGAGAACCTTTCAGGAGATTTTGATCTACCCACAAAGTGTCCGAAAATATTTTACTCACTTCATGCTTAATGCTTTTGCAGAGGGAAGGAGAGGAGAATGTTTATTAGCTGTTTTGTGAAAAAATATCTAAGGCTTATTAAATGTTGATTCATGTTTTTCATTTCACGTTATGTATATTATATATATATATATATATATAATTCACCAAGATTACTCTCTGGATTTTATTTATATCATAAATAATCTTGTGTATGCTTTATGAAGAGAAGTATATTTTTTTCGATTGGTTGGTTTATATCACTTGCATTTAACTTCTGTAACTGAATAAACAGGATTATCCCTGACATAATAGTATCGCAGCCTTCTTTATAAGAAAAGTATGCAGTGTTTCAAAAATTTGCTTTTTATTAAAACTTCTTTGTATTGTATAATGATTTATTAAAAAAAAATTAATTAGATCTTGTAATTGTTACTTTCAAACTAAAGGCAAAGCTAGATTTGCATGTTAGCAGTTGTATTTCAGATCAGATTTGTGGTCCTGCCTCTGAATGTAAATTCACGTTGCTTGGATTTCAGGGAAATCATACTGATTTACATAAGCTTTTCCTTGAGGTAGATCTCTTATCTTTTTTTTTTTGTTTTTTTAATGTGGAATGTAAGAAAGTGTTGCAAACTATAATTTCTTTGAATTGTATTTTCCTGTAAAATTTTTTAGGAGCTACATGAACACTTTTTATTGCACAGCAGAGGAGATGGAACAGCTTGCTTTGAGGAATGGAAAGGAATTTTTTGGCTGTTTTCAAAAACCAGTGATGTTAAAGGTAAGATGCTGAAAAACATGTCACTGGATAGTCAGTATCTTATTACTTTAGTTAATTTTATGAAGACATTTTCCTCTTGATAAATTGAAATTGTTGGGTTCTTAAAATCATAATTCTTGCTCTGAAACCCAAACTGCCAGGTTAAGTTTCTGATGTGATTGTGGCACTGATGAAGGCCATTTCATACACTTCACCACTTGGCCCCCTCTATTTGAGTTCTGCTTTGCTCCTTGCTCATATTGGGATAAGGATGTACTGGATGTTCTTACAAAGTATTACCTTGCTGGTGGAAGAATTCTTGAGAGTGTCCTGAGCCAATTTATGAGACAAGCTGAGAACAGAAGCTTCTAAAAAGGCTTTTAATACTCCACTGAGCCCTGCTTTGCAGCAGCTTGGGAGTTCTGAGGCTGCTGTACCTCTGGCTGAAGTTAAAAGAGCACAAAGTGTTGTTTATTTCTAATTTTTTGATCTACAGAATTCAGTGAAAAATGTAGTTTAACTGTACATGTGGAATGTAGCCACTATGTACATGCCCCATCAATATTAACAAAGCAAGTGTGTTATCAGTGTTCTCTTTTCGTGTCTGTTTCCTAGCAAGTAAAACCAGTCCCTATGCATGGGGTCTGAACATACAAATCAATTTTAAAAAAATAGCTACAGAACCAGAAATCTAATCCTTCAGTTATTCACTAGCAATATTTGAAAAGAGAAAAGCTATTGTATATCTGCCTTGCCTCACTTCTTGTTAGTGCCAGGAATAATGCACATCAGGAAATGAAATAAGTATAAATCACTGAAAAGGTTGACCAGAGCTGCATTTCAAAGCAATATAAAAAAATGTCTTAATGAGAGGTGGAAAATTCAATTGCTGAAAAATGGAAAATGCTTGTTTTATATTGAAGGGGTGAATTGTGTACCAAGACAAAGGGATTTGTGAAAGAGTGTGGGGTGTTTGTGGATTATTCAGGGGTTTTTTTTTTTAAACACCAGCAGCCTTGTGTATTCATGATTTCAAGAATTTTATCAGAAACAGAATAATTCTTCTTATTAAATTCTGGCATCTTAAAAATTTTGGCAGACAACTTTTTCTTTTCCTACCCTGAACTGTAGATATCTGCAGGTTCCATTCAACTCTTTCAGTAGCAGATCAACAGGTTTTGGGGCATAGTTTAGAGGCTGTATTATAAATACTTACACTGTTACTGGTGATTTAAATCTCATCAGACTAGTTAATTTTTTCCCAAATCCGATGAGTGCTTGGACCTGTTTGCATGTTGCCTGCCTGCGGATAATGTGATTTTAGGTGTCTCATAGGAAAAAAAAAAGCTATTCGTGCTCTTGAGTGATGTATTCTCTGTCCCTGACAAGTTCACTCATTTTCCTTAACTAGGACTGAGAAGACATTTCAAGAGATAAACACATACGATTGATTGATTCAAGGATCACCTGCTACAAGCTCAGGAGTGTTGCATCCCAACTAGAAGGAAGTGCAGCAGGAGGGCCAAGAGACCCCTTTGGGTGGATAAGGAGCTGCTGGGGAAAATTCAAATGAAAAAAGAGGCTTATAAAAGGTGGAAGCCAGGACAGGCAGCATGGGGACAGGGATGTTGTCCGGGAAGCTAGGGACCAGGTTAGGAAAGCTAAGGCCCAGTTAGAATTAAACTTGGCTAGGAATGTTAAAGGTAACAGCAAGGGATTCTATAGGCACATAGTGAATAAAAAACAGACTAGGGACAACGTAGGCCCCCTCTGGAAGCTATCGGGAGAACTGGCTACCCTGGATTTGGAGAAGGCTGAGGTTCTGAATGACTTGGTGCCTCGGTCTTCACTGGCAAAGGCTCTGACCACACCACCCAAGTCTTGGAAGGCAGATGCAGGGACTGTGAGAATGAAGACCTTGTGCCCACTGTAGGAGAGGAACTGGTTCAAGAATATCTTAAAAACCTAAATGTACACAAGTCCATGGGTCCTGATGATATCCATCCGTGGGTCCTGAAGGAGCTGGCGAATGAAGTTGCTAAGTCACTGTTCATCATATTTGAGAAATCATGGCAGTCAGGTGAAGTTCCCGATGACTGGAAAAAGGGAAATATAACCCCCATTTTCAAGAAGGGGAAAATGGATGATATGGGGAATTACAGACCAGTCAGTCTCACCTCTATGCCTGGCAAAATCTTGGAGCAGATTCTCCTGGAAGGCATGCTAAGGCACATGAAAAACAACAAGGTGCTTGGTGACAGCCAGCATGGCTTCACTAAGGGGAAATCCTGCCTGACCAATCTGGTGGCCTTCTATGATGGGGCTACAAAACTGATGGACATGGGTAGAGCAGTTGATGTCATCTACCTGGACTTGTGCAAAGCGTTCGACACTGTCCCACATGACATCCTTGTCTCTAAATTGGAGCGACATCAATTTGATGGATGGACCACTCGCTGGATAAAGAACTGGCTGGATGGCCACACACAAAGACCTGGGGTCAATGGCTCAATGTCCAGCTGGAGACCAGTAACGAGTGGTGTCCCTCAGGGATCGGTGTTGGGACCGGTCTTGTTCAACATCTTTGTAGGTGACATGAACAGTGGGATTGAGTGCATCCTCAGCAAGTTTGCCGATGACACCAAGCTGTGTGGTTCGGTTGATACACTGGAGGGAAGGAATGTCATCCAGAGGGACCTTGACACGCTTGTGAGGTGGGCTGATGCCAACCTCATGAAGTTTAACCATGCCAAGTGCAAGGTCCTACACCTGGGTCAGAGCAATCCCAGGCACAGCCACAGGTTGGGCAAAGAAGAGATCCAAACCAGCCCTATGAGGAAGGACTTGGGGGTGTTGGTCGATGAGAAAATGAACATGAGCCAGCTTCAGTGTGCGCTCGCAGCCCAGAAAGCCAACCGTATCCTGGGCTGCATCAGAAGGAGAGTGACCAGCAGGTCGAAGGAGGTGATCCTGCCCCTCTGCTGTCCTGAGACCTCACTTGGAGTATTGTGTGCAGTTCTGGTGTCCTCAACATAAAAAGGACATGGAACTGTTGGAACAAGTCCAGAGGAGGCCACGAGGATGATCAGGGGACTGGAGCACCTCCCGTATGAAGACAGGCTGAGGAAGTTGGGGCTGTTCAGCCTGGAGAAGAGAAGGCTGCATGGAGACCTCATAGCAGCCTTCCAGTATCTGAAGGGGGCCTATAGGGATGCTGGGGAGGGACTCTTCATTAGGGACTGTAGTGATAGGACAAGGGGTAATGGGTTAAAACTCAGGGGAAGTTTCAATTGGATATAAGGAAGAAATTCTTTCCTGTAAGTGTGGTGAGGCACTGGAATGGGTTGCCCAGGGAGGTTGTGAATGCTCCATCCCTGGCAGTGCTCAAGGCCAGGTTGGAGAGAACCCTGGGTGGCATGGTTTAGTGTGAGGTGTCCCTGCCCACGGCAGGGGGGTTGGAACTAGATGATCTTAAGGTCCTTTCCAACCCTAACTATTCTATGATTCTGCGATTCTATGATTGTAGAGAGATGAATTAAAAGGCTGCGGGCAATAAGATTGAAAATGAGCACCATGTGTCTCCTGTTTTATAGGTGTGGTGTTTTAAAGCATATATCTGGCCTTAATACTTCCTGGTAGATCTGTTTAAGTATGCAAGAGTTTCTGGTGGAGCAGTCCTTAAAAGTATATTTTTCATGATTGCTGGAAGTGCTAATTTTGTGAGGTCTGAGCTTTGGTTCTGCATCACATTTGATGGGATTACCAAGTAACTAGCACACCAGTAACTAATTGTCTCCTGTGTGGATTTGTTATATAGATCTTCAGCTGAAGCTGATTGTGTTGTTGTAGGCTGTATTAGCCACTTTATAGACTGATGTATTTGGTGAAACAGCCTGAAATGTAACCATTGTGTGATCCCTGATGGGGCAAGTTTCTCTAACCTTTTTTCATCCCTTATCCTTAAAAGTAATTCTGAAATCCTTTTGCACACAGGTAGCTACTGAACACAGAGAAGAAAGGTACTGCTCAGTGAGTGGAAAAGTCACCTTGTGTTTAAGTCATGGAATACAAAAGCGCAAATAAAATTATGCATGCACAGTGAATGGAATTTCTCGAGTTCTATAGTCCAATAAACCATGTTATCTTGGGTTATGTTTAAAGAGAGACATATTTTCTCACTTGCTGTGGTCATGTATACCTTCCTGCAATAAATTGCTCTAAATGTTTCATCTGACTGGAGAAAAACTCCTCTGGTGGACAATTGTTTAGGCATGCAGTTTATGAATATGCTGGGCAGAGAGCAAAATAGTGTAGTGATTCTTTCTGAATGAACAGGTTTTCCTTGGGTTTTTACAGGAAAAGATACTTTTCTGCATCTATGTGATTTGCCGTTGTCGTGGTTTAAACCCAGTCAGGTAATTCGTTCGCTCACTTCCCCCCCTTTCTTGCCCTCCCCCTGCTCTCGGAGGGACGGAGAGGAGAATCAAAAGAATGCAACTCCCACGGGTTGAGATATGAACAGTTTAGTAACTAAGGTATAACACAAATCACTACTGCTACCACCAATGATAATAATGATAAAGGAAATAACAAGGGAAGAGAATACAACACCTCAGCACCAGCCGACCGATAACTCGCCCCCCTCAGCCCGACCAAGCACCGACCGATACCTCCTCCAACCCTGCAGTCTCCCAGCCCTTCCGGCTAACTCCCAGTTACATCCTGGGCATGACGTGCTGTGGTATGGAATAGCTCTTTGGTCAGTTTGGGTCAGGTGTCCTGTCTCTGCTTCCTCCCGGCTTCCCCTCCTCCCTGGCAGAGCATGAGGCTCACAAAGTCCTTGGCCAAACCAAAACATCACTATCAGTTCTGCTCCCAGGCCGAAAGTCAAAACACTGCACTGCACCAGCTACCAAGAAGGGGAAAAATGACTGCTACTGCTGAACCCAGGACAGCTGTGAACCTAATATAGGAATTTCTCAGATGTGCGCAGGGTTGTTTTTATATTAAGTTGTCAAACATGGGCTATCTGTAAAAAACCTTCATGCAAATGTTAGCTCCAGGAGTGCCTGGGGCAGTGGTTAAGAGTAGGGTGAGATAAGACAGAGCTTCTAAGAGTTTGAGAGTTTTTTGTTTTTTTTTTTTATTTCTGGGTTTGTTTTTTTTTCTTTGGGGTCTGTTTTTTTTTTTTTTTTTTTTCCCCTTCCATCACGGAGCTCTGGACTTGTGTGTGAATCAAGTAAAAGTATTTCTTCTGCCTTTGGCCTTTCTGTGTGGATTATTGATATAATAGGAAAAAACTTTGTATTTTTGCAATTTTTTGGTTTCAGCCTAAAAGTGTTTTCTTCAAAAGATTTGGCTGGTGAGAAATCTAAAGTCTTAAGATGCCACGTTTTCATTATATCTGTAGAAGAACGCTCAGGATAAGTTTTGTCTGATGAAGAAGCATCTTGCATCTTTCTGCAAAACAGGGGGAAGGTCAATGGTACCATTGTAGGAACTGAGAATCATAGAATGGTTTGGGTTAGAAAGGGCCCTAAAATCATCTAGTTCCAACGCCGCTTCCACGGGCAAGGACACCTCACACTAGACCCTGTCACCCAAGATTTTCCAGCCTGGCCTTGAGTACTGCCAGGGATGGAGAATTTACCACATCTTTGGGCAACCTGTTCCAGTGCCTCACCGCCCCTGAAGCAAAGAACTTTTTCCTTAGATCTAACCTGAACTTCCCCTGTTTAAGTTTGAACTCATTACCCCTTGTCCTGTCACTACAGTCCCTAATGAACAGTCCCTCCCCAGCATCCCTATAGGCCCCCTTCAGATACTGGAAGGCTGCTATGAGGTCTCCACACAGTTTTTCCTCTCCAGGCTTGAACAGCTCCAACTTTCTCAACCTATCTTCATTCAGGAGGTGCTCCCTGATCATCCTCGTGGCTCTCCTCTGGACTTGTTCCAACAGTTCCATGTCCTTTTTATGTTGAGAACACCAGAACTGCACACAACACTCCAAGTGAGGTCTCACAAGAGCAGACTAGGGGGGGGCAGGATCACCTCCTTCGACCTGTTGGTCACGATCCTTTTGATGCAGCCCAGGATACGGTTGGCTTTCTGGGCTGCGAGCGCACACTGAAGCTGGCTCATGTTCATTTTCTCATTGACCAACACCCCCAAGTCCTTTCCCATAGGACTGGTTTGGATGTCTTCTTTGCCCAACCTGTAGCTGTGCCTGGGATTGCTCTGACCCAGGTGTAGGAGCTTGCTTGCACTTGGCATGGTTAAACTTCATGAGGTTGGCATCAGCCCACCTCACAAGCGTGTCAAGGTCCCTCTGGTTAGCCCAGTGTATCAACTGAACCACACAGCTTGGTGTCATTGGCAAACTTGCTGAGGGCGCACACTTTATTCTGCATAACAGAAAGACTGGCAAATCAGAAGTTAGGCTTTAAAATGTCACACACAAGTGTTGTTAATGTATTGCACTGGAATCATATCCTTTTGTTATTATTGGAACTTTTTTTTCTAATTTTAAAATAAGATATATAAAGGAGGGTTTAAAGTATGTAGTGTAAGAAATTTTTTTTTTTTCTTGTTTCCATACTCAGTTATGACCTGCATGGACTTGGCTAATATATGTGTAACTAAAATTTTGTGCATTAGAAATTTGACTTAGTAAGTTTATGTTTAAAGCTTTCCATTGGAGGTCAAGAAAGCAGAACTGAATACTTGGAAGTCTGGCAGGGTGCCTGACCTGAGCTTGTCTAATGGCCATTTCATGGCAATCTGCCTGCTTTCTAAACCCACATTTTGTTTCCATCTCTTTAAATTTACTCAATCCAATACTCTTTTAAGACAGATTTTGAAAATGCAAAAGCTATTGGGCCAAGAGTGTAGTATCTCTCAACTCGAGTATCTGATCCTGATGGAGGTAACAGGAGTGAACAGCCAAGAATGCAAACTTTTGGTGGTGGGATGGGTACAAGGAGCAGAGGATCCTCCAAGGCTATGTTCAGGTGATGATGGTTCTACTATCTTGCCTTGTTTTTAATCTTGGTAGGTTTACTGTATTTATATGAATAATAATGTCAGTGTAGTGCTAGACAGTAAAAGTTGTGGATAGTGAAGTGTAGCAAAAGTAGTATTGTTACAACATAAGCTGAATGATGCTGAGAGGAAAAAACTCCTTGAGGCTTGTACATACAGAAGTAAATCTCAAGAGACATTAATATGCAACAGTAATTTGTAATATAACTCAAGTAAGCATTGACAAATCCATTTGATGCAGGCCTGATAAGATTTAAAAAAAAATAAAATAAAACTTGAGTGCTTAGTGTTGTATGCACCTAAACTGATGTGTCAAGATAAATGCAAGAAAAGTTATTTCCTTTTCCTCCCCCCATTTATTATCAGTGACTGGAAGAATAAAGTACTGTAATATTTTCCTAGATCCTACAGTTTTACTTTTCTTTATTATGACATCTGTCAGGCAAAAGTTTTATCCTCTTAAGCATCTTACAAGAACTGCTTTTTTCATGACAAGGGCTTAATCTTTGATCATGACGTATTTTAACCAAGATGTGTGAGATAGGAATGTATTTTCTTCAAAACTGAAGAACTGTTGGAAGTGTTTATTAAGAAACAGAACTTTGGGGAACAGGAATATAATATTTTAGTCATTATATTATGATGCAAGTGGGAGCCATTTCAAAAGAAGTAGAAAAAGAAGAGAGGTATAAAACCTGAATAACTAGAGTATGTGCAAATCTCTGTTCCATACCGTATTGATTTTTTGCCTCACAAAACGGCAACTGCCTCATGTATACAAGCTTCATAAAGAAGAGGCTTAGTTTCACTGCTCTGAAGAAAATGTGTGACCAAATTCTGAACCCAAACATAAGTAAAATACCTCCACTCACACCAATATCACTAACATAAGGACACTTATAAACACTTTATACTTCAGGTTATATGGGTCCCATTTATTTCATATCACCATTTAGGAAACATAATTGTTGGGTGATTCTTCATCTTTCTCCAGAACTACATGAAGATTACAAGTGAAAAAAACCTGGATGAACAATTTTTATAAAAGAAGTTATTAACAGGAAATGTCAGTACTTGCACGCAGAAATTCAGCTAGAAATGCTTGAATGTGGTCTTTTATTTTCAGTGTTACGCATATACACAATGTTAAGTATTTTTAGTGTGTGTATGTATGATAATATGAAAAATGAGAAAGAAACAGCTGAGGAAATTGCTCTCCAGCATTGCCTCTGAGCTGCTGGTGGAGGCACAATTTGGATTTGGTTCTGAAATGATTGAAGGAATTGTACGAGCCAGCGTAGTGATTTCTCACAATTGTTCAGAGGCATTTTGGAGAGTAAGTCCCCTATCCTAGAAGCACATATAAAATTTCTCAAGATACTTTTGAAATAGTATTGGAATAATGAAGCCTGGGCTTCTTGGATCTTGCCCTTACCAGACATAAAAGGAAGGCTGCTTTTTTTTTTTTTTTTAAACTGAGAAAAGTGGTGCTAACAGGGACATTTATGCATGATTTCTCCCGTAATGGGAGACTTACAACCATGGAGTACACTTCTTGTATGCTCACCTCTATCCATCAAATTATATTTTGTGTCACTTAGGTCACCTCTTAAGCTATATATGTAGAATATTATCCAAAAGCGCAGGAGAACTTGTAACCTTTAGTGAGTTCCCAGTCCAGTTATACATCTCCTAAAATGCTCACTTACTTTTTCTTAATGATAGGCACGACTCAAACTGTCTTATGTCTCCTTGTTAACTTTTCCTTCAAAGCAGAGATGGCTTGTAGATAAGAGTGTGTCCAAGACCTGCTTCACTTTGCTCTGCTGAGTATATATAGGCTGTCTAGTAATCCAGAAACATAACAATGTGACCACATAAACCAAATAAATTTAGCATAAGTTGGGCAAGTTTGTTTTTTTGTTTGGTTTTCTGCATATCAGAGACTAAGAGGAGGAAGTAGAAGGTAAACTACAATAGGAGCAACAATTCTGTCCCAAAGCATGTCCCCCTCAGTGTGTTGTGGTAACCTTCTGAATTCCACTCTGGCCTGAAACCATGTTCCTTTACTTTTTTTTTTTTTCCTGTCTGCTTTTCCCATCCTTACAGGTAGA